TTTCGAGAGCGAAAACTATGGCACAACATTCTAATTCTGAAATCGAATAATTACTCTCACATTTAGAAAGCTGACGTGAAGCATAAGCAATTGGTTTCCACCCTTCAGAATATTTCTGAACAATAACTGCGCCTAATCCTTGACCAGAAGCATCAGTTCGAATTTCTATTTCTAATTTAGAATTATAATGAGCTAAAACTGGTGGGTTAATTAATGCTGATTTTAAAGTGTCGAAAGCTCTCTGTTCTTCTGATCCCCACTGAAAACCTACATCGTTTTTTGTTAACCTAGTTAAGGGTTTAGCTAAAGTGGCAAAGTTTCTTATGAATCTTTCTATAATAAGAACAGAAGGCAATAAATGCTCTAACATCCTTTAATTTTGTTGGTGTTGGAAAATCTCTAACTGCATCCAACTTTTTCTGTTCAGGAAATTGACCTTCTTTAGTAATCTTGAACCCTAAATAAGTAACTTCAGGTAAAGCAAAGAGACTTTTTGACATGTTTAATTTGAGGTTAGCTTGGATTAAACGTTGGAAAATCAATTCTAATCGAACTAAATGTTGTTCAAAGTTTGAGCTGAAGACTAAAATATCATCTAAATAAACTAAACATGAATTATATTTAAGTCCTGAAAGAACGACATCCATACAACGTTGGAAAGTAGCTGGAGCATTAGATAAACCGAAAGGCATGACATTGAACTCATAGAGACCATCAGTGGTAACGAAAGCACTTTTTTCTTTATCATTTGGATCTAATCCGATTTGATAATAACCTGATTTAAGATCTAAACTTGAAAAGTAACGAGCACCCTGTAAATAATCTAAAGCATCGATAATATTTGGAAGAGGATAATGATCTCGTTTAGTAACTGAATTTAGTTTTCTGTAATCAACGCAAAATCTCCAATCTCCTGTTTTCTTTTTAACCAGAACAATTGGTGAAGCCCATGGTGATGATGACGGAGAGATGATGTTGATTTCTTGAAGTTCATTAACTAATTTATTAGTTATTTCTCGCTTTTCTGAAGATTGTCGGTATGGAGAGACCGATATTGGAGGTTCATTTCCAGTGTCAATAGAATGGACAAATTTATTGGTTAAACCAATATCATCAGCAGTTAGGGCAAATACTTTTTTATAATGTACCAACAGCTTCTTTAGTTTGTAGATTTGATTTTCATCAAGGTTACTTCCAATTTTGATCTTATCGAAATCAGAACCAAAGACATCAATGTCATTAGTAAGATCATCATCTTTCTCAAAGATTTGTTTGGAGAGGATACCTTGATGATCATCATTAATGTCGATTATTGGACTTTTATCAACAGTTTCAAACGTCCCAAGAATTGAACCAAATTTGACTTCGACATCATTCTCAGTGAAGTTACATATTTCGGTTAAACATGGTTGATTTTTGTAATTAACAATTGCACTAGCCAAGACTGTTTTGTCTTTTCGATCCCAAGAAACTGGAGTTTGAATGAGATAATTTCCATTTTTAACTCGTTTCTTTCGTCCAGGGACAACAGCAATGAAACAACGAGATCGAGCAGGGACAACTGTATCTTCAGCGGCATGAATAGTATCTGGACAATTATCTAAAAGGATAATTCCACGATAAGTATCAACTAATACCTTAGCAAGTGTGTTAGCGTTTTGACCAATTAGAGCGGAAATTGATCCAGCTAGTGATTCGACGACCATGGTAAGGATAGTAACAGTTGATTGTTTTCTACCAGATTCAAAAGTGATAGTGACTTCACATTGACCAAGATGTTTCATGATGTTACAAGAAGCGGCTGAAACGATTGGACCTTCGTAAGGTTGTAGAGGTGTGTCTAATTTATTAAATGTTTCTTTATCAATTATTGTTATCATTGCACCAGGATCAATAACAGATTTAATTGGTTTTCCATTCATTAAAACAGTTGTTTCAATTAATTTACCAACTTGCCAACTCAAGGGTGTAGATGATTGAGACGGGTGATGAATACAATTAGAAGTAAATGCAGCTGATGTAGATGGTTTAGGTGAAACAGATCTTGGAGGTGTTTTCGGTTGTGGTCGATCAATCGGGCTACCCGGTTGATTTGGCACAAACCGATTACGTTAATAAAATTTTGATTTTGAGATTGATTCTGGTGATAATTAAAATCTTGTTGTTGATTTTGGTTTCGTTGTTGACTTGGTTGTTGTTGATAATGATATTGTTGTTGTTGTTCATACTGTTGACGTTCTCTCTGTCTTGCTAATTTAGGACAATCTTGAATAACATGATAGTTTTCTTTACAATAACGACAACCAACAACGGTACGATCCCTATTATCATTATTATAATTAACTTGGCCATTAAAATTACGATTATTATTTCGATTGAAACTTGATCTTCGTTCGAATGGTTGGTTAGAAGTATTTTTCAATTTAGCTATTTCTTCTCGAAGTTTATTCAATTCTTCCTAAATTGTCGAAACATCTGGTTGTATTGGGGTTTCGATAGTTGATGTACTGAATGTAACAGTTTGATGAGCTATAACGGGTGGAGAGCGTAAACTTTCTTCACAAAGCTCAATAATCTTACATAATTCTTCGATATTTGTAGCAGGTCGAGAAATGAGCACATTTTTAACTGACGATTGTAAATTCGGAAGTAAACCATCCACGATCAGCATAAATTTATCTTCGTTTTTAAGGGCAATTTTTCGACAGAGAGCATCTTTCTTTGTTATGTAAGACTCAGCTGATTCATCTGAATTTTGTTTCATATGAATAACCTGTGACCAAATATAATTATGAAAATTGGGGAGAGCAAACTTATCTTTAAACTTTTTCTTCAAATCAGACCAAGTTGATGGAGCTCCTTCGATTCCTGGGGCCATGTAGCCATCATACCAAATTTTTGCGGAACAAGTAAGAAACGATCCAAAAGCGGCGAATTTATCTTCATCATCCCACTTAAGTTGAGTTGCTTTTCGATCATATTCAACTAACCAACTATCGAGTTCTTCTCGATCTTTCGGGCTACCCGAAAAGAAGCGAAGGAATTGTTTGGTTGCACCTCGATAAGTGGGGGTTGAATCGTTTTCACTGGTTTTATTGTGGAAAGTTGACATCTCGATAAGTTGATTTGAATTTGCCATAACTTCACTAAGCGGATCCCACCGCTGCCACCAATTGTCACGTTTGATTTTGTGACGGTTTTAAATATGGCAAATTAAAGTTTAATGGTAATAATTTTATAAAATGTTTAGAAGGGTACACAAGTTAATAATTGATTTATAATTGAGGGTGAACAATAAAGAGATTAAGATATAATAAAGAAGAAGAAAATATAAGAATACGGATTAATAGAAAGAAATTGATGAAAATCAATGAACACAAATTAGAAAGAAAACAATTGATGAAAATCAATTGAACACAAATTAAAAAGAAAAGAATTGATGAAAATCAATTGAACACAAATTAAAAAGAAAAGAATTGATGAAAATCAACTGAACACAAATTAAAAGAAAAGAAGATTAATTAATTAATAAGGTGAACTTGAGTAGTCAAATGAAAATTTAACTCTGAGGATTCTAATTGATTTACTTTTGATTTTATACTGATGTCGAATTTTCTTGATCTAATCGATGAGATTGATTCTCATGGGAACTTTATACTAATTGATTTATTTAATTACTCTGTGAATCTTAACTAACTGATTACTATTAAATTGGTTAATTGATTTGATTTCCTGTAATTTACTGAGTTAACTATTACTGATTTCCGATAATTAATGGTGTAACTTTAATTGTTGTTGTTTCCTAAATCAATTTTCTGATTAACTATTAAATTAATTACTGTCTATTCATAATTGATCTTTCTGATAATCAATTGATTGATCTAAATTTTATATAACATCTTTCAATGATTCGAGCACCCGAATCATTGAAAATTCAATTTATCTAATTTTAAGGAGGAATTCCACCACAACGGACACCCGTTGTGGTAAGGAAATAGGGAAAGGAAGGAAAAGAAACATGTAAAGTTTTAATTTTTACCTTTTCTTATATATATATTTTGTATATATAAAATTAGCCAATTGTAGCAAAGAAAACTGAAAATATCAATAAACAATAACAATTTTTGAATATAAAACACTTGTTGTGATAGTTGTTGTTGTTGAGGTGAGAATGAGGAAAAGGAAATAGAGAAAATGGAAAAAAAATAGACAGGAAGAAGAAAGAGGAAAGGAATGTGGGCGGAGGAAGAGAAAGAGAAGAGATTTAGGTAGACAGAGAGAGAAGAAGGAATTTGGGTGAGAGAGAGAGAAAGAGAAAGGTAAAGATGATGAAATTTTCATCATCACATACACCAAAAGATTAAATATGATAAACCCAACCTGTTAATCTAATTTCTGTTAACCTTCCAATGTACTAATGTATTGAATATAACAATTAATTCAACTTAGCTTCAGCCTTTGTTATCATAAACTAAAATGTGGGCAAAAAGTTTATTGATCAATCTAATTCTTGAATATTTTTAAGTTTGGAACACTTTCCTTGAGTTATCTCTGAAAAATCTGCCAGTTCACAATAAAACTCTTGAAAAAATATCAGATCAAAACAAAACTTTGCCGTTCATACCCTAGTAAGTTGATCCACTGAGTTGCAATCACCATTGCATAAGCTGAGTTTCTTTTGAGATTGAAACATTAACTTTATGATAATTCTTCAATTGAACCATTAGATCAAATAATAGCTAATGAATGGTAATTGATAAAATAAACTCCCACACTACAGAAATTGAAACAAAAACAAATCAATTGAGGTGATTAGTTTAACAAACAAGATTACTTTTAATTGTTTTCCTTTTGAGGAAAATGTGTGAAGGAATCCTCCTCGAATTTAGTAATCACAGTAACAATTAAGTACAAAGTACGATCTTTTTTAACTTTTCATCGATTATCATTGATCAGGATCAATTATTTCAGATTCATTATGAAAAAATGAAACATTCGAGTCCAGTTTTATGAAATTATTTTTAATATTAATACTTTTTATTTGATAAGACAAAGCATATTGACCAGTGGTTATTTTAACGTGACATTTATTGTGCAATTAGAATTTCATATTGTCGGTAGAAAGAGAATAATATTTCTTTCAAGTGGTACATTTCTGCTTTCAGATCAGAATTTCCGACTTTAATAACATCGTAAAGAGAAGATAGTTGCCGTTTAGCAGCGTTTCCATAAGTCCGAAGAAGATCATTTTCGGCAGTTAAACTTTTCGATTCGATATCAGTTCTGTAAATATTAATCGAGCTCAAAGCTTTATTCTGGCAGCTATTGCAAGAGGTTGCTAGAAGATCAATAATCGCCGACGGAGTGTCTTTCGTTAGATCAGAATTCGAAGTGATTCCAATTCTTTATTAAAAGTTTCTGTCAATTTAGCGAATTGCTTAATGTAACCTTTGAGTATTTGGTCGCTACTTTCGCCCCCATAGATACTTTCAGTTTGGTCCATAAACTGAAGACCAGTTTTGACGCTTTTTAAGCCTTTGATTGTATTGTCACAAAGCTCAACTTGTTTTTTATTGATTCCAACAGAAGATTTGACCAGTTCTATTTGTCCAATCTTGTGGTCAATTCGTTTTCGGATCAAGGATTTCACCAGCTGGATTATATTTGTCAGCAGCCGCTTCAAGCCAAACAGAATCTTCGATCGGGTTTGTACAGTAAATCACATTGATTCCTATTGATTAGAATTGATTAGAATTAATTAAATTACTTTATCTAGCAATTCATCACATATTATTAATTTAAACTTACCCAAGTAGAAAAGAGCGACAGTTAAAACTTTTAGATCCATTTCGATAAAATGATTTAGTGAATCTGATCCAAGGAAATACAAAGTAAAATTATGATCAATTCAAGTTACCGAGAAAATGAACAGCAATCAAATGAGTTAATTAGCGATTTATTTTTATATTTTCCACAAATGATAAGACTAATCTTTAGTTAATATCAAAATCATATTGAGATACCAATTGCAAATTCTTATGTAATCAATTCATTGTGGTGGGAAACATGTTTATTGCCAGAATTTAGCTTTGAACTCGATTAATATTTACAGAACTGATATTGAATCGAAAAGTTCAACTGCCGAAAATGATCTTCTTCGGACTTTTATGCCAATTTTCTCGATTTTCAAGCAATTGAACCTCTTAAATGTTCAAACCTAACTAACCTAAAGTCACACGGCTCTAGAAAACGATCTCCCAAAGTTCGATCTCGATCAATTTTTCTGCATCAGAAATCGATAGCGATCGATTTATAAACTGGATCGGAACTTCACTAATTTTAATCCTCCATTAATTACAATTGACAACAACAGTTAACTCGTTTGATACAACAGAAATTCTGGCTTATTGCCTCTTATTTTACTTTTTATTGTATAAAATTAATTTTTAAATGAATCTCTCATTTAAATTCAACTTAATCTTTCCGATGTATAAAGTTATCCATTTAAAAATTATCAATCCCTGCGATTTTACATCACAACGGAAATAAGCTAAGTTTAATTTAATTGCATTTGATTAGCTCAGATTAAAAAAGATTCCAATCCAAATGCATCAACCAATCAATCTTTTAAATTTAATTTTTCTCTTAAAATTAGATGAAAATGATAAATTTGATTTTCTTTTGTTTCGAATTGGCTGCAATTCAAAAGTGGCGCCATTTTCAGTGAAAGTGAGAGGGTTAGGCTTAGATTGGAAAGATTTGTGTTGATAATCATTCATTTAATTAAAAGCGAAGTTAATTCAACTGTTTGATTGATGGATTAACTAATTAACTCTTTTTAATGACGTTGTTAATCTGAACTGAACTTCTATCATCCTTTCGATCGACAACTTCGAGTTCAGATCATTTTTCATTCTAATTACTGTGAAAATTGTTTTTCTTTACTCTTTTTACCTTCAAATGAATCCTTCAACTAAGGTGAGTTTTTACCTTCTTTTTTTTAATTGTCCCATTTGAGTTAATGATTTGTTCTAATTGTTGTTTAATTTTCACGTGTTTTATCACACTCCTATTTTCTTTTTATGCTAATAGACTAAAATATATATTGGTGGTCTTCCTGATTCTTGTAGTACTGAGGATTTAAGAGCTGCTTTTGAAAAATATGGGAACGTAGAGGAATGTGATGTTATTAAGAATTTTGGTTTTGTCGTGAGTATTTTTTTATTGTTTATTTGATTAAATTGTTTCTCTCGATTATTGACAGTTAGTTTTTTCACCTTTATCCTCTGTTTCTCTTTAATCCAGCACATGGGTGATGAAACTGAAGCCAGATCTGCTATCGATGCACTGAATGGATCCGAGTTCATGGGAGTAAAGATTACAGTTGAAGCTTCTCGTAGTAAAGTCAGACCAAAGCCAGGAATGGGGGGTAAAGGTCAATGTTACCGCTGCGGTAAAAGTGGTCATTGGTCGAAAGAGTGTCCGCGAAATACTTCTGATCGTCATAATCACAACGGGTGTGTAAAGCTTTATGTACAAATTTGTGAAGCAAAAATCTTCTCTTCTATCAAACAGCTACAACGATGTTTGCAAAGAAATTTGTTTTTCAGTTCATTTTTGGTTAGTTAATTTTCCCGATTGGAAGCTCAGCTTCTAAGAGAAAAAGAAAACACTAATCAATATCGTACAAAATTATTTTCCATTTTTGTTTAACCAATTGTGATCAGTCTTACACCTTAATTGTTATTCCAATTATTTTCTAAGTCGATTGCAATCAACCTTTCTCTGTGTAGATATTATTAATTTAACTCGTTTATTTTTCTTTTTATATTCTTGATTGGTAAAAAAATATCGAAATTGACTTTTTCACTAACATTATAACTTTCACTTACCTTTCTCCCGGTCCGGTCTTTTTAGTCGTGCTCCTCTTCCCACTCATTCTCAACCTCCTCCTCCTCCACAGCAAATGCCTCCTTCAGGCCCCGCTGGTTGGTACGGAGGAAGATACGGTCCAGTTCGTAATTATCCGGCTGAAAATCGAGGTTATGATCGTGCTTATTCTCGCCCCTATCCGGATCTTTATGATAGGAGGCCACCGCCACCACCTTTACCACCACGCGAAGAAATCTATTATAGAAGACCTTATCTCGAAGAATATTCTTACAGAAGGTCACCTTCGAACACAGATCGGTAAAAGAATCAACAAGATCTTCATTTTTACATTTACTCATCTAATTCGGTGATATATTTACATCGCTCTTGAAACAAAATTCTCGTGTTCGTGCCGATTTCAGATCATTTTTCTCTTTTTCTCTCTTTATTTATTCATTATCATCTCGGAATCGCTAATCAACTAAACGGAAACTTATTTTCAGTTACTCTTTTGTTTGACCTTCTTTTTTGTAATTAATAAAATGAATAACCCTTAAGTAGTTTGATTAAAATCTCATCTTAATCTCAGAATTATTCATAATTTTCACAGTAGGATAGGTTATATTCAGTTAATTGGATTAATGATGAAAACAACAATCAATTTCAATCAAGAAATTAATTGTTAATTTGAAAAGACCCGCGTTTCCCCCGTCCAGAGTTCGGTTATTGTTATTATGCAATCGAATTAAACTTGAATAGCTAGTGACATCTATTGGATTCGCACGATACTAATTCTTTTTTGTGGTTGAAAGAAAATGTTTCAGATTAATTTAAGAAATTGACATTTTTTAATTGATCAACTTTATTCAGAATCAAAATTAATTTCATTGATTATTTGAATTGTTAAAGAGAAAAATTACTCGACTATCAATGGAAAGCAATCAGTTGATTATCGATTAACTCGGTTACTCAAATTGTCGACTTGTCGGTTATTGTGTGTCTTCAGTTGAGACAACAGATGATTTGAGATCAGGTGGAACTGATTTAATCATGTTGACAAGTTGATTATGTTTATTTAATTAAAGTTAATTATGGCAATTCTTGATTATTTGGATTTATACCTGAGGAAATGGAAGCGCTATGACTCACATCAATCGTATGTTAACAATTTAAATTAATGTCGTAAAGTAAATTATTTCATTTGTTTATTAATGTCTTTTAACTTTCTTTTTTTTTTGTCATCATTATTTTGATTAATTAATTTATCCACACGACAGCCGTAAACGTTTACTTATCACATTGTTAGCCATTTGTATTATATTAGTCTACATAGGACCTTTCTTTTTCAAATTTTGGCAAAAGAAACCCAAATTTCAAGGTAATTTTTGTTTTAAATTTTCTATTTCAAATGTGGACATTGTGTCAATACATTCAACTTGAAATGATTAAATTTCTTTCATTTAATTTCTTTTAACAGATTTAACTGAGCCATGCTTTAGATCTGTTGGTGCTTATCTAAAAATCTTACAAGAAGAAGAGAGATTCGAAGCCCACCGGTGGAATAATTTAAACCCAGTAACTGAATCTTCTGACCATTATTTACCTTATGTAGGAAATGGTAAAATCGGTTTGCCGCTGGACAATTATTCGGACAAACCTTTTTATATTCTGAGTAAAAGAGCTTTGGATTTACCTCTACCATTTCATCCATTGATTGAGATTGAAATCGCCAATAGGAATGGATTCAAGCGTAAGAATACAAATGACCTCTAATCATCTCATCTCTAAATTCATTTACTTTCTCTTTCATAATCAACAGAAGGGTCTACATCCGTTCGTTATGTCCAAGGCCATGTCTTAAAGGTGACTTGTTACACTTATTTCGCCAAAGATGTGTCTATCAAAGAGACGATCTATGCTCACAGATTAATCAACAATCTTCTCGTCCAAGAGATTGATATAATTAACCATACCGTAAGTGAACATAATCTAAATTTGTTTCAATTACGAGAAATTGATATTCTCATTTAATTTGATTCCAGGATGCGCCTTTCATATTTAGCTTTAAAAGACTTGGTTGGAAAGGGGATCCCAAAGTGAAAAGTCAAGTAGTTCCAATAAATGCTGTGGATAAATTAAATTATTTTCAAATTCAAAGTCAAATTGATTGGAAAGATGATAATCGTAAAAGTATCGGATTCTCTGTTATTGCTCCTGAAATTCCAAATACAATTGAAGTGCCTCATGGGGGAAGAAAGACCATTGAATTTCGAACCTTTTTAAATTACACCAAGCCTATTTTGAAGAATCAGATATCACGTTATGAGCCCGATCTTAGGATTTCTCTGCGTGAAACCGTAAAAAGAGTGGCTGAAATTTCATCATTGAATTTGTTCAGCTTCCATCGTAATGCTTGGTCAGAATTATGGAAAAGTGGTTTCGGAATAAGTCTCTCAAAAGCTCAAAACGTTCTGAATGGAGATGCAATTAATGCTACTCTTTACTATTTATTAAGTCATAAGAATGCCTTTGATGCTGATTACATGTTCAAAGATCTTCCCAGTGCCCTCATATCCATGAGATCATCCAGTTTACTCAACAAACCAGACAGTTGTTACAATGGTCATCCAACTTTACAAGCATCGGCATTATGGTCACCAATGGATTCAATAAGTGACATCAATCGGATTGTATCACTTTGGTTGATGACTTTAGAGAAACATGGTTGTCATAATTTAATTGAATCCGGTGCAATGGGGACACTCCAAGCCTACATATTAAGTTTAAGTGCTCTTAAATTCACCAAAAATCACATTGAATTCAATACTCACCCTCAAGAGTTACATCGTGATTATTACATTCGTCGTCTTAATTATGGCAACAACACTTCATTGAACATTACGGTCGCTTTGGGAGAAGATAATAAAGCGTCGATTTATGTTGCCATTGATAAAAATGAAGGTGAATAAACTTTTCCAAATGAGTTTATGAAATGTTTTCAATGATTAGTTTATAAAAATAAACAATCAATTGAAAAACATTGATAAATTTCATAAGAGAGTCTCAAGAAAATTCAAATCCATTATATTAATATGATCAATCAGCTTGGTGAAAATGTATTTTCACAATCATCTCTGTATTTGAGATTAATGGTTTTTTTCCATGTACCAAATTTATCTATCATAACAATTAGTAATTTAATTTTTATGGTGTTAATCTGATTGTGTAGTAAGCGCCATAAAATATTCTCACATTTCATAATTTATGGATTAACTTACATTTATGTTGCAATTTGTTGTTTTAAAGCTCTAATTATGTTTTTCTTATTGTTTCCATGTTTTAATTTTCTAGGTGATCATAAATTTTATGCTTGTGACGGAGGCTGTATGGATGCACCAATAAAATTATCTTCGATTCCAATTCAATTTCCAGTAAAATTAACTCAACCCTTGACTGCAATTCTTTATATTACTCCTGATTTGGAGCATATTCAAGAGCTGAAACACACAATTCACGTTAAGGAGATAGTTGAAGCACCGGCTCATGAACATAACATTATTGCTCTTCATCGACATGGTCATAAACTTGGCGGACTTCCTGCAATATTTTGGCTTTCAATTGTATTTTTAATTGTGATATTTCACCTCTTTCTTGCTAAACTTATTTACAATGAGTATTGTGTCGGCTCATCTTCATCATCTTCATCATCCTCATCCTCGGGTTACACTTATGAAAGAGTCCGTTATGCCGTATAGTCAGAAAATTTTGGTTTTTTTCTTCTCACAATTGATGAAATTATTTCAATTCAATTAACCTAATCACCAACAAATCGATCATCCTTCATGGGTATATCTTTCATCAACCATTGTCATTGTCAATCTAATCATCTTAATCGAGAGCAACAATCTCAGCCCAATTAATTAATTTGTGACTTGCTATTTATCCTCTATCGTTTATATACATTAACATGGTAATTTTCCAGTTCCTCCCTGATCTCCTCAACCAATTTCTCAAGAAACAATCAACCATCAAATCATCAATAAATTAATTTTTTTCTTCACTTTTGTTACTTGATGTGGCAAATCAATGCACCATCAAAGTTGGTAATAAACATCAATTTTAAATTGAAAATTTTCCTAAATCGATTCATTAACTTGGCAATTGGTCAAATTTTGTCTTAATTGTGACTTCTAGTTAGAGTAACTTTTTCCCTTTTTCAACCACAATTTAACTTCAGCTCGAGAAAAAGATTCAGACTCTGATTTACAATATTTTCTGTCAATTTGTCTCTGACAATTGAATCAACCATGAAAATTAGTTTTTCTTTGTTAATTTTGTTAATCACCAAAATCTTAACTCAAACAACTGATGAAGTGATTTATTCAGATGAGGAGGGTTTCGAAAGAGACATTCAACCCACCCCACCGCCTCCTCCAGTCCCTCAAGTCTTGCCTAATGAATCAGAGAATAACAGTTCAGACCCATCGGCAAATAACGTTGAACCTTCTCGATTTTTGCCAATTCGTCAAATTTATGGCGAGGCCTTGATTCGAGGAGCACCCGGTGTCCGAGGTCTAATTTACTTTATCAATTCGGTAATTAAATCGAAACCAAATTCAATGATAAACACTAACGATGAAAGTTTTTCTTCGACAGTGGAACGGAGTTGGAATTCACGGGATCGTTTGTGGCCTTCGTCCAGGTAACCATGGATTCCACATTCATCATTATGGTTTGACAGCCAACGGCGGTTGTGATGCTGCTGGTCCACATTTCACTCTTTACCGTTGGAACCACGCTGGACCAACGGATAAGTATCGACACGCTGGAGATTTGGGTAACTTGAAGGTTGAACAAAATGGCATCGCTTTTATCAATCAATTCAATGGTCAAGTAACTTTAATGGCCGCAAATAACACGATCCTTGGACGGTCAATTGTGGTAAGTTAATCAACACTTTTTCGAGGGCAATTGACTTTTAATTGTCTCTTTGATAGATTCATGAGTGGCCAGATGACCTTGGCCTCGGACGAAAGGAATCAAATATCACCGGTAATGTCGGTAAACCAATTGCTTGTGGATTAATCGGATTAAGAAGAGATAAACCTTATCTACCAATCAATTGTCCTCCTCCAAATCTTTAATCAATTAATCAATTAATCTCTTTATCACATTTATCATTATTCTTCTTAAAGTGAACAATAAAGTTAAAGGTTAACAATTCGGTGCTTATTTTTCATTTAGGTGATGATTTAATTGTTAATCTAATTGTGACGATTTATACAAATTTGATCATCTCTTTTTGTTACTGTAATTGATTTTTTCTCAATATTCTCTCTAATCAAATGTTATTTTAATATCGTCATCGATTTCCCAATAAATCAAATCATCGTTAATTATTCTAATTTAAATAATATTCTGTCTAATTGTCTCTCCACATTGAAACAATTAACAAAAAAAGAGAAAAAGAGATCAGGTGGCGACACCTTTCGGTTTTCTTTTTCTTGTACATCTGAAAACAGAAAAATTTTTCTTATTTTCATTCATTTTTAATCTCTGTCATTGTTTTCATTTTTTCTAATTACATTTTATTTAATTGTTAAACAATCAATCAACAAGAATAGTTCTTAGTTATTTAAAATGGTGATTCATTAACCTTTGGTTGTTTATCTCTTGGTATTTGTTATTATATTCTTTCAATATTTGTTCATCATCTCATTCGGAATCACAATCATCTTTAAACCCTTAGGCTTATCCAATAGATTATTGTAAAGAAAAATCATGAAATTGGTTAATTTATTTCTACCAACTAATTGTCTCCATATTGTTGGATTACTTTTAGCTTTATTCTCTACTCAATCATTGTGTTTACCGAGCCCATTCTCGGATTCATTGTCGTCTTCAAATGATGACTCATTTAACCGGACATCCTCTCATAAATATCCAATCATTAAGAGATCTCCAAGATCACCCTCATCACCATCATCATCATCGTCATCTTTAGCCTCTAATTCAAATCAAACAAATTCTCAAGATCGTTTACCAGTATCATTTGGATTATTTGTTACAACAGCAAATTCATCAGCTATTTCATATTGTATGGCTCATTTTAATTATTGGACAATTTCTAGTAAACCAGATAACTTTTACAGTCTCGTCAGGGTGGACAATATCAATTTCTGTTCAGCATCAGCCAGTAAACCTCCGTTTGTCCGTGATGACCCCGGTTCATACATATTAATCAACTACAATACCAAGTGCCCTTTAGCTGAACAAGCATTCAACGTTGCATCATTTTTTCCCAGAAGCAAAGGTTAGTTGTTTAGTCGGAAAATTGTTAACGAAAATTTCTCCCATTCTATTAATTGTTTAATAGAAACAATCGACTGGTGATTGACTGAACATAATTCTCATCAATAACAACAAGTTCAATATCAATGCCATGAAATCATCCATCTTACTCATCATCATTGAATCTGCTCTTGATACTCAGATATTACAATCAAGGGTTATCGTTTGTTCAATGTTTTCTTATTGTGTGAATTTAGTGACAGCAAATATCAAATATGATTGTCAAGTTATTGACACTATCAAGATTTAACCTTTTCAATGATTTGCTGAGAGCTCGTTCATTTAGTGATGAAAACAATTAGGAGGATATTTATGATTAGCTCTCTAATAAACTAGGAAGTAAATTATTGTTTCATTGATTAGCGATTAAATAATTGACGAATTCAATAAGTTTTAGGTTCCCTATTGATTCGCTCTGTCTTCTTAATTAACAGTTTATGCTTTCATTCAGTTGATCATTTTAATTGACAAAATATTTTCTTTTAGAACTTGAAGATTAGGGTTGGGTCAATAATTCATCATGTTACCTGTACAAGTTATAATTTGAAGCGAATCGAGTAAATTTCACCGTAAAAAGTTTAATTTACGGTCAGTGACTAGAAGACTGATTTTCATCAGAGTGAATCAAAATTTACGTTTTCTGGTGAAATCAATCACTTACAAGTTAATTTACTAATAATCTGACTGGTCTATTATCAACTTTCAACAATTTAGTCTCTAGTGATTTACAAACATCAAGTTGACACTCTAAATGAATTAGTGTAAGATTTTACCAAGTTTATCATTTTCTTCATCTCTTTATCGCCCCTTGGCCTAAGTCCAAATTTCCAAGTCTGTCGACCTTGACCACCGTATTTATCATTCCAGTGAACTTTAACTTCTCCTCGATTTCCAACCTTTTTGTCATTTCTTTCAATCAGATGAGCTTCATTTCCTCGACGATAACCAGATTCGTATGCATCAGGTTCTGGTGATCGAATAAACCTAAATAGAAAACAATTAATAACATGACTTAATCAAATTCTAAATCAAACATGCTAATTCAATTGACATCACGCTTTTCATTTCCATTATTCTATCATGAATTATTTATAGCTTTAAAATTAGCCAAAAAATTACAATTATCCAAATTCTACTCACTGAAATAAGGTTATCCTATTATATTGATCAGCTGAAGTGACGTCGTTGTCTCTTTTGTCATCGTCGTCAGTGTCACTGTATCGGTGTTTGGTCATTGATAAATTATCAAATTTTCTGTGAATCTCATCATTAATTGGACTCTGTCTTGATGATGTGACATTGTTTATATTAGCACATGAAATTATTTCAATAATAATCATCAGTAAAATCACACTTAGATTTAAACGGCTTGGAAACATTTCCTTATTTGAACACTTCATGAAGCTTAGTAACAATTTTTATATCTTTCATTGTGCTAATTGAATAATATCTGTTATAATACATCACAAATTCTAATTCAGATGAAAACTTGTCAACAATTGTGACAATCGACCGTATCAATGGGTGCCAATTATCAGCTTGATGATTTTTTCTGTTCGAAGCAATCAAGTTTTTAATTAGATTGAAGGAATTGTTTACCTTTCAGGTCAACAACTAATCCGGATATTACTTTTTGATTATTTTTTATTTCATCTTCAATCATTAATTGGTTTTTTTCTCACTTTTTTATTATTATTTAGGTTTGATTATCTCTCTGCCCAATGATGTCAATGTTTACAATTTGTATGTCCAAAGAAATGTCACCGATCCGAAATTTATCATCGCTACGATTGGGGAAGATTCGACTGCTGAAATCTTATCAAGATACGGAGATCAAATTAAAGCCATGGTTTATGCGCCATCCGATGATATCGCCGATGATAGAGGAATCTTTGATTCCAGTTTGATGGGTATTTGGTTTATTGCTGTTTTTACTGTTGCTATTGGTGGATTTTCATCTGGAATCCTCAGATATGGACTATTTTTGAATCGTCAATTGCATGATGGGGAACTAGAATTGGCACAAGCTATTGGAGAAGGCGAAGATGATGAGCAAAGAAAGAAAAGCTAAACTAGATGATTCGAGTTTAGATGTTACCCCGACAACTGTTGTCTTTTTCGTAATCTACATGTGTGTAGTCCTGTTGATTCTGTATTTCTTTTATTCGTACCTTGTCTTCATGATGATTATCTTCTTCGTCGTTTTCTGCACCATTTCAATCTACTCGCTCATCACTGGCCTAACTGTTAATTATGTTGCTCCTCGTTTGGTTGGCAAATGGGCTTTATATGGTTGGCGTATTGGTGTTACTTTGGTTTCGTTGATTGCTCCAGTTGTTTGGTATTCCATCCGTAAAACAAATCAAGCTTGGAGTTTACAAAACGCATTGGCCATGATATTTTGTATTCACGTTTTGCAAATGCTTAGATTTCCTAATTTCCGAATTACCAGCCTCTTACTATCTCTTCTTTTTGTCTATGACATTTTCTTTGTTTTCCTTACCCCTTTCTTGACGAGCGATGGTGAATCCATCATGGTTAAAGTTGCCACTGGTGGAACAAGTTCTGAACCATCTTACTCTTTTGGATCGAAAACAGTTAGCGAATCTCTACCTGTTGTATTTCAATGGCCTCGTTCAATGACATCATCTCTTCTCACCGATAAATGTTACCAAGGTCGAGTCTTCTGGACATCGAAATTGGGTTTTGGTGATGTTTTAGTTCCTGGTTTCTTGGTATCCTATTGTCATGCCTTAGATTTATTCCAAAAAACACCTTATCGATTGTACTTTGTAGTTGAATGTATCTTTTATGGAATTGGGCTTATTATCACATTCGTTGCTCTTCATTTGATGAAGCAAGCTCAACCCGCTCTCCTCTACCTTGTACCTTGTACACTGATCCCTCCACTGGTGATCGCCTGGTTCCGCAATGAAATACATATCCTTTGGTATGGACCTGAACCTGCTGCTATTGAGGCTCTCAAAAGACAACAACAATCCCAGGGAAATGACGGAGAAACGAGACCTGCTCTTAACAGTGTATCAACTGACCCAAGTGAACCTTCACAACCAAATAATCCAAAAGAATCTCTTGTCAATGACCAATCAGCTGATACATCGAATCAGCAAAATATTCAACGTTCTTAAAGCAAACAATTTCGTATAAAATACTTGTTAACCAACCAATCATCCCGGTGATTCTATTTATACATTTTCTCTATCAAAAGCGTTTCAACTCTCCAATTTTCACAGATAAAAGTTGAAACATTTTCAAGGCAAAAGCTTTTCCAAAACTTGGAGCTTGATAAAATCTACTCTTACTCTTAATTCAAAAATAATCATTCCAGCGATAAGATTATTGATTAAAGCGATCTACCCATCTAATAATTTCAGCAAAACTTTCATCGCAAGTGGATTAATTTGGTTTAAATATCAAGTGCCTTTTACAATTGAAAATCTAAACAATTGTCAACTGACAAGCTATTTGCAATCTCCTTTGCAATACTTCATTTCGGATCTCTTTGCATCTCTATCATCGCAAATTCATTTGAACGATAATCTGTTGATCAAGTGCCTGTTCATCCTCTCAAACATCAAATTAAAAGAAACAAGCAAATGGTGTAACATAGATAATCCAAAATCCGAATGAAAAATTTTTAATACAAAAGTATTAACCTTTTTTCCAAATCAATTAGAATAGATAATCTTCATGTTCTCATCTTTATCATCAATGTGCTGTATAAAACTTTATCCAAATAGCATTTGATTTTTCCTCATTAAAAGTTAAATCAGTTGCTGATTATCTGTGAATCCTAGAGATTAATTTTTTCGATTAATTAAATTCTCACTTTGATCAGTTAATCCAAAAAATTATGGAAATTATTAATTTAATTCTAATTATAATTCAATACATTATCTGTAATATTTAGCGAACTCTGGATCGTGGCCTGGACAAGCTGACGTTTTATTATCATTGTCGTAATTAAGACGAGATTTAGTTGAGCAACATTCACATCCTTTAAGTGGGTTGAGCGGAGTTCGAAGGCAAATCGCTCCTCGTCTACCAAAAACCGAACTTCTAATTCCCGTGAAACTCGTGGTTGCTGGAGCCAATGGATTACTGATACAAGGTTGAGCCTCGAAAAGACAATTTCTCAATGAACCGACTAATGCCAAAGTCGCAAAGAAGTGACTACACATCGGGAATCCATTGCAGATCAGTTGATCTTGAAAATAATACGGTACATTAAGAAAGATATCAGTATCAGCTGTTGGAAAAGGATAACCTAATTGAAATGCAATCGCTCTGAGATCACTTAGAACTGGAATCGGGAAATTGAATGTTGATAAAACTCTTGTGACAACCAAAGCATCTCCTTTTCCGGGCATTATTTTATTAGATAATGCGAATGGAGCTGTAGATGAATCTAAGGCTAAATTTGAGTAAAATATCCGAGAATTAGTATATTCTATTCAGGTGTCGATTATACAAATGTGCTAATACTTTAACTTACCAACAGTCTCACCCATTGTGAATCCATATCGTTCTTTAAGATATTGACCTGCGAAAGCGGTAGCATGTGAACCTGCACTGTGTCCACCGAAAAAAATTTGACTTGGGTCAATTCTTTTCTCTTTAATTGCATAATTCATTGCGTTCGCTGTGAGACGACCCACAACCTCAGAATTAGCGGCACAAAGAAAAATGTTAATCAACGGGATTGATATTTTACCGAACTGTCGAGGATTAGCCCCTCGAGTCCAATCGACCATTACAACTTGTTTATATTTGTGAAACAAGGCCAATCCAACGGCAAGAGTTAATTTGTCTGCATAAGAAGCGAAACAACCATGAGCGTAAAACGCAAGATTAGTTTGAGGCTTCAAGTCCTTTAATGTACCGAATTGACTTTTTTTTACTTTCGGTGTCATCACATGATAGGTCACATTAACCTCACTCGGTGAGTCGGGACACATTATAAGCGGTGGAAGCAAAATGATCATGGCTGATATGAAAGGAGTGATACACCCGATCTCGTGGTAACACACGGTTCTGAAACAAGGCACTAGTGCGTTGACATTAATTAGTGGATCTCCATTCACAACTAACAATTGATAAAATCCAAAAGCAATTAACAAAAAGTTAAAAGGTCGAAATTTAAAAATTAACATGATAAAAAAAGACGAAAATCGAAATGAATGAAATGAATGAAAGAGATGAAAATACAATTGGCATCAATTGCGTTATCAAAGGAGTGATTAAATTATATCAAGTTCACTCTCCGAACGATTAACAAAAGATTCATACTGAGACTAATCTTAATCTGCGGGCTAATTAATATTGAAAAGATTCAAGGTAATCAAATTGAAACAATTATCAGGGTTCCAGATATCAGCTGGACTAATTAATTACCTAAACTATTGATTTTCTTTACCACAAGAAAACACAATAAATCTAAACATGTGCAAATGGACAATTCGTAATCTGAACGTTAATCACGTTCTAGAATGAATTATGTTAATTAACCAGAATCTTCGTCAAGCCATTTCGTCCCTTTTGTTGTCGTTCTATGGATCGTACTAACTAAAGTCAAACCAAAGCACCGAAGGAAATTCAAAGGAAATTTGTCAGTAATCAAATTCTACAATTTATTTGATCATCTTTGTTTGTAAAATGAGTAAATCTAATTTAAAACAAAGAACTTTGAAGCTGATCAATTGATTGACTTTAAATTGTTGATTTTTCTTTGTCAGTCTAATTGTAGATGAGAAGAAAAGTTATTTGTCATTGTCGAAAAGAGAAAATTTGACTACGTGTAAGTTTTACGTCGATTTAACTGAATAACTCAAGTATAACTGAATAATTTTCGTCGTTGGTATTAAGAAAATCGTTCGTTTAATCTTATTTAATTTGATCTGTTTTTTTGGTAGCTAAAAATGGAGAAATACGTCAGCGTGTTAATGGTCTTGCTGATTGGTCTCAGTGTTGTTTTCGTGGCACAAAATGGATTCAATCGAAGTTGGAGTGAATCGACTAGTTCAAGCAATTCTTCGTCGTCTAATCAACCAGTAAACTCGAGAAATAATTTGCAATCAAACCAGTTTACTAACGAGCCTCTGAATCCTTCGAGTAATCTGCCGAATGAAGTTCAACCCAACCAGCCAAATGCTCCAATAAATCCAATGCCTAATGGTATTGAAATGAAAATAGCTATTAATGGACCAGCAAAAACTGTAGACCATTCAGCTGGTTCGAACTCCGAAGAAGATACAATTGATGATGAGGCCGAATCAATAGATGACAAATCAGGAGAAAACTCGGATGGTAACTCGATGGAACATGAACATAAAGAACATCACCATGAAGAACATCATGAAGAGCATCATGAAGATACTCAGACTCCAATAGATGCGAACGATCAAAATATCAATTACATCTTTTTAGTTTCTTATTTTAGGTCCGGTTCATCTTTCGTCGGAGATTTACTTCAACAAACTGATTCAACGTTTTACACATACGAACCTCTCAAATTTTTTGATTTCAATCACAAAGTTGATGCGGAAGATGAAGAAGAGGCTCTCAGAATTCTTCAGAATATTTTACATTGTTTGCTCAATCATGAAGAAGAATATTCTGATTGGGTCTGTTTCAGAGGAAAAACTCACGGTGGTTGGAACTTTGCTAGAAATCAACACCTTTGGAAATCATGTGAATCGGATCCATCTGATTGCTGTGACACAAATTATGTTGACGGTGTTTGTTCTCGAACAAAAACTCGAATAATTAAGGAAACTCGAATTTCGTTGTCATCAATTGAGAAGCTCTTACAACGTTTACCTCCAACGACCAACATCAAGATAGTTTTCCTGGTTCGAGACCCAAGAGCAATCTATCAATCAAGGAAACATTTTCGATGGTGCAAGACCAGTTCATGCATAGACTATGAAAAATTATGCGAAGATTTGACCTCAGACCTTGAAGTTTACCCTCGATTAGTTGAAAACTATGGAGATAAAATAACGATGGTAAGATTTGAAGATATTGCTCTCGAACCATTTGAAAAAGGTGAAGCTCTTTATAACCGTGTTAATCTTCCTTACACATCGGAGACTATAGATTATATTTACAATCACACCAATGAAAATAACGTCGATAATAATAGTCCATATTCGACATTGAGAAACTCGAAACAAATAATCACCAAGTGGATCGATAATCTAAATGAAACAATCGTTGACGCGATACAAGATTCATGTGGATTCGTTTTCCAGCAATTAGGATACAAATCTGTCGTGTTATCTGAGATAAATCAAAGTTCTGATATTGATTTGAATGAAATTTTCGAAATGTCTTACCCACAACCAAATCATTTATGATTAAATTAAATTCAATTAAATGTGAAAACTAATCGCTATTCCAAATAAAGCGCCTAATTCAAAATCTTCATTGAATTTTTGTAAGAATCAATCGTTTCCATGCTGAAATTTTCAGACTCTCTCAACTGAATGGCAGTTATTAAATGTATTTTCACTAATAGATCTCTGTTATTTGCAGAGATTCACAAATTATCACCATAAATCAGATGATTTCTCAATTGACTTACAATAGCTCATCATGTTTACTTACAGCTAAAATTGAGCAAAGATAATTTTCATCGAGTCCTAAGTAGTTAATAAGAGATAAAGTTTTCTGAAAGAATTTTGAGAAAGTCGAATAATTTTTGATGCAAAATTTTATTTTTTATTCTAAAGTTAGAAGATGAATGAATGGAAAATTTCATTCAACAGAAAGTTGAGTTGTAATATCAACTGGTAATGGAGTAGTGGTAATTTCTGGTGGAGTTGTGATAATTTGTAATTGTCTATAAAACATTGACACTATTTCTCCGTATCTTTCAACGATCGGAGTCGCTTGTGCTTCATAAGTGACGGCCTTTATATCAACAAGAACTGTGGCAAGTTGATGATCAACGGAATTCGCAAGAACTCGGATCTGTCCATTTTCGGACTTCGTGAAATTTTGTATGTCGTCTCTGAAGGCCCCAACCCCGTCAGTTAATTTTGTGACAACACTAACTAGTGGGAGTTTGGAGCTGTTTATACCTTCAATGATCGCTGATGAAGTGTTATTGGTGATGTCAGGAACTCTCAGGTAATCGTATTCATGATTGAATGTTTCGTACAAAATGGCGAATTGGCTTATGAAACTTTTGATTGTTCTTTCATAAGTATCGTCACCACAGATAACTTGGGTTTCGTCCATCAGCTCGATATCAGACTTAAGAACTTCGAAGCTTTTGGTCATCACTTTACAAAGATTCTCTTGTTTCTCATTGATTCCAACTGATTCACTTACGACTTTAATTTGTCCAGTTTCGTGTTCGATTCTATTCAAGAGAAGCGATTTGACCAACTCAGGACTGTATTTACTCGCAACTTCTTCGAGGAAAGAACTTTTGGTAGCACAATTAACTTGAGCGCTTCCTTTTCATATCAATTAAAAAAAGTTAGAATTCAATAAACAGAAATAAAGTAATAGAAAACACTTACCCAGATAAAGTAAAGTGACAATTAAAACTTTTGAGACCATTTTTGATGTTTGTCAACCGATTGAGATTTTAACTAATCACTAATGTGGATTAAAGCAACTGTATTCTACTGAGTTTAATGAGTTAATTCGCAAAGTTGCGTTGATATTTATATTCGTTTGATTAGATTATCTCTTTGTTGAAATTATCAATTGAATGTTTTTTTGTTTCACCTTATCAAGAGAAGCATCTTCATCAAAACAATACCTATGACATAATATTACTAATTATTATGGAAAAATAAAGTTACCTGCAATCAATATATTTAACAAAAAGCTGAAAAAACACCCATTCGATATTACAATAATTAAAGCAATTAGATTACCATGTTTTGATTTTACTGCTTTTATTATGATACCCGAACAATACAATTAAAATTACTGGCAGTAACCCAGATAAAACTCTGATTATTTCTAATTATTAAAGTATTAGCTATTGGATAATACTGAAGGAGAATCAGTTAATAATACTGAGTTAATTTCTATTTTTTCAGTTGAAACATTGAAACAAAACAATAAACATGATTAACAAATTGATTGTTGCCACTCTCTTAATTCTAGGTGAGTTCGATACCAAAATGTCAACAGTTGATTAATTTTCGTTGTTTCTTTTAATCTCCTAGGATTCACTTTGACTCAATGTAAAGTGGATGAAATTGATTTTATCAATGAGATGACAAGAGAATACAGTCCATCCTTGGTCGCTGAGATGCTTGTTGAGCGAATTCAACTTCGATCTTCCGAAATCAAAAGAATCAATTCTTCCAGCGAAATAAGTGATCAACATCATACTCTTTGCTCGGTTATACTTTCGACATTCGATGTTCTTCTGGAAGATATCAAACGATGGGAGAAATGTCCAGTTCTTTGTGGTAACTCGGAGTTTTCCAGGAAATCGAAATATTTTACTGGTCGATATAAACTGTTGATTGATATTTTCAATCGAGAGTCTAAATCATTGTACGTTCCTTTGATTGGACGTGCAAAGTACTTTCTCTCTTATTAAATGATTATTCATATTCGATTATTATATTGACAGATTAATAAGAATAAAATGGATTTTAAAGCAACAAAAAATTAAGCTCGAATTATTTTCTTAATGGTTTCTTTTCGCATGTCGTATTTAACATAAAAAAAATAAATTATATTATTATATTAAGTGGATAAGAATGATGCAATTGTCATAAGGTCGCTCGGAAGAAAACACGAACACGAACTCGAATCGTTCAACTCATGGATCAGCCAACTTGAGGTAATCTCGATTTGAAAATAAACTTCAGGATCAAATTGCTCGGAAATAAACAGAACTAGTTCCCTTGCGATCATCTCTCTTTATATTAACAATATGAAGATGGAATAATTAAAATCCACCCGAATAACTATTCTTTGAATACTCAAGATGTATCACTGGACGATATATTATTAATATATAGTCACTAATTACTTATAAAAAATAACTTGATACAAGAGATCAAGAAAAATAAACAGTAATGATTGACAGTTGATGATATGATATGTGATTTGCAAAAGTAAAATTTTTATTCGAAAAGATTAAATTGGTTAGTTACAATTTAGCTCGTCGATATTATTTAGACAATTCAATTTGTCTGTAGAAAATGTCAATTGCTTCCTCGAACCTTGCAAGTAAATCTAACAAAGTTGCTTTCGGGGATGAAGGTGATTGAGTTTTCCATGAGTTAATGGTGGTAATCATATTGTTCAGCTCTTGTAAAATAGCGTGACCGAGGACCTTAATTTCAGAAGAAGTCTTTTCATTATCAACAATCTTCTTGATTTCAGTAATATAAGCATTAAGTGATGTTACAGCTTTTCCAGAAACTACAGTGGAAATATCTGTCACCGTTGAGGTCAATTCACGAATGAGATCTTCAGGAGACTTAGCACCGATGTTCGGAGTCTTCAGGGCCTCGAATTCAGTGTCCAAAATTGTGATCAATAAACTGAATTGTGAGATGAATGACTTGATATTCTTGGTGTAAGTTTCATCGCCACAGATAACTTGTTGCTCGTCCATGGAAATAACATCGGAACGAAGAGTGTCAACAGCTCGGAAAATAACTGAACAAAGGAATTGTTGTTCTTGGTTGATTCCGACTGTTGAATTCAACTCATTAATTTCTTTTAATTTATGATCAAGTCGACTGACCAACAATTGCTTGACCAAAGTTGGACTGTATTTGGTTGAGATGGTGGTCAAGAATTCAATGTCTTCAACAGCACTTGAACCGATCAAGGTACAGCCTGAAAGTAATCATGTTACATTATTAGTATGATGGTCATTTAATTACGAAATATAAATCAAGAACTTACCTAAAACAAAACAAAGAGCAATTAACGATTTGTTGAACATTTCAATCAATTAGTAATTAGTAACTATTGAAACAAAGGTTGAATGTGTAATTAACTCTAATTTGGATTGTGGTTTAAATTCATTTATTCATTTGTTTTTATAACAATCAATCAATTGTTCAACAAAGTTAATTATCAATGATGATTAAAACTTTATCACTCTAATTGTTATTGTTATAAAACCAATGACTGGAGTACCAAAAGATTAAATATGATAAACCCAATCTGTTAATCTAATCAGAGATTTAACCAGAATTCCTGATAGCATTGCTAATCTAATTTCTGTTAACCTTCTAATGTATTAATACTAATGTGTTGAACATAACAATTAAATTAACAACTAATTAGCTTCAGCCTTTGTTATCATAAACTAAAATGTGGGCAAAAAGTTTCTTGACCAATCCCCAATCTTGAATATTTTAAGTTTGGAACACTTTCCTTGAGTTATCTCTGAAAAAGTTAACAGTTGATAATAAAACTCTTGAAAAAATATCAGATCAAAAAATTAGATTGATCATATCAGATCAAAGCTAAACTTTACCGTTCATAATAATTAATTAAAAGTTGATCCTCTGAATTGCAATCACCGTTGCATAAGCTGAGTTTCTTTTAAGGTTGAAACATTAACTTTATGATAAATCTTCAATTGAACCATTAGATCAAATAATAGCTAATGATTGGTAATTGATAAAATAAACTCCCACACTACAGAAATTGAAACAAAAACAAATCAATTGGGGTGATTAGTTTTAAAACAACAAACAAGATTAGTTTTAATTGTTTTCCTTTTGAGGAAAATCGGTGATGGAATTCACCTCGAATTTAGTAATCACAGTAACAATCAAGTACAAAGTACGATCTTTTATAACTTTTCATCAATTATCATTGATCAGGATCAATTATTTCAGATTTATTATGAAAAAACAAAACATTCGGGTCCAGTTTTATGAAATTATTTTTAATATTAATACTTTTTATTTGATAAGACAAAGCATATTGACCAGTGGTTATTTTAACGTGACATTTATTGTGCAATTAGAATTTCATATTGTCGGTAGAAAGAGAATAATATTTCTTTCAAGTGGTACATTTCTGCTTTCAGATCAGAATTTCCGACTTTAATAACATCGTAAAGAGAAGATAGTTGCCGTTTAGCAGCGTTTCCATAAGTCCGAAGAAGATCATTTTCGGCAGTTGAACTTTTCGATTCGATATCAGTTCTGTAAATATTAATCGAGTTCAAAGCTTTATTCTGGCAGCTATTGCAAGAGGTTGCTAGAAGATCAATTATCGCCGACGGAGTGTCTTTCGTTAGATCAGGAATTCGAAGTGAGTCCAACTCTTTATTAAAAGTTTCTGTCAATTTAGCGAATTGGCTAATGTAACCTTTAAGTATTTGGTCGCTACTTTCGCCCCCATAGATACTTTCAGTTTGGTCCATAAACTGGAGACCAGTTTTGACGCTTTTTAAGCTTTTGATTGTATTGTCACAAAGCTCAACTTGTTTTTTATTGATTCCAACAGAAGATTTGACCAGTTCTATTTGTCCAATCTTGTGGTCAATTCGTTTTCGGATCAAGGATTTCACCAAGGCTGGATTATATTTGTCAGCAGCCGCTTCAAGCCAAACAGAATCTTCGATCGGATTTGTACAGTAAATCACATTGATTCCTATTGATTAGAATTAATTAAATTACTTTATCTAGCAATTCATCACATATTATTAATTTAAACTTACCCAAGCAGAAAAGAGAGACAATTAAAACTTTTAGATCCATTTCGATAAAATGATTTAGTGAAACTGATCTAAGGAAATACAAAGTAAATTTATGATCAATTCAAGTTACCGAGAAAATGAACAGCAATCAAATGAGTTAATTAGCGATTTATTTTTATATTTTCCACAAATGATAAGACTAATCTTTAGTTAATATCAGAATCATATTGAGATACCAATTGCAAATTCTTATGTAATCAATTCATTGTGGTTGGAAACATAAGGATTCGTATCACAATATGTTCAATGTGATTTGAATTTGATTGAGCTCATTGAATGTTTGATCATTTTGAAACAATTCTTTCATTTGAAATGACAATTACTCGACTACATTAGTTATATTCAATTGATAAAAACATTTCGCTTTTAACTGTGATTAATTATGATAGAAATAAATATGTTCTTCATTCAAAACTCAACTAAAATATCATCATCTTAAATAATCAGCTATTTAATTCTGCTATTATCTCAATATTATATTATTTTATTTATCAATTAAATTGATAACCTTTCTATTATTATTTTACTATATTAATAATTCATGAATCTGATGGACTCACTTGAAGCATTTGGTTGAGACCTAGTTGCTGATCTACGCGATGGTGTTACTGAGACTTGTGATGGTCAATTAGATTAGAAAAGGCTCTAACCAAGGTAACAATTAGGTCTCGTAAATTAAATTATTAATATAAACAGACCAACGTGCTCACCTTGTGTTAATTCAAGTTCAAACATTTGTTGTTTTCCATTGACTCTAAAACTTGTAAATGATGAAAAATTTTGTTTCATCTCTTAGAAAAAGTAATTAGTCTAATTATCTCATTTCAACCGCTTCTATACTTTTGATCTTTGCTGTATTTACAGTCAACAAAATGAATACCCTCTTTTTACATCTCTTTTAACACCATTAATTGTAATGTGCGTGTGTCTCTTTGATTCCTCAAAACACAATTAACCACCACTCTAATTAGTAATTAATAAGAACATTTGAAATCTCAACTTTAGTGATAAAAATGGCAACTTTCAATTCTATCCACTTGAAACAACGTTAAATTAGGTCTCGATTTCCAATCAATTTAGATTAGAAGGAGACTTGAAATGCAAATTCGTTAAATATTAATATTAATTTGTTTAATTACTTTGAATCGTTAAGTCTTTCAATTGATCAATGCGTAGATGATATTTGTTTTTATCAGTCTAATAAAAACTGATCCAAGAGCCAATGGATCCATTGACTTAATTGATAGTCGATAATTGGTACAACTAAATCAGATTAATTAACTATTTCATAAACTTACCTATGCTAAGTTGATGCTTCTCAATAGCATTTCCCTTGCCATTTTTAATCAGAAATTTACTTACGGAAGTGAATTCAATTTTATGAACAGAACTTTATAACTTTTTAAATTCTATTGAGAATTGAAACTTTAAGCGTGTTAGTAGACATAAAGTAATCAATCTCAGCATTTCTCATGAATGGAAATTCATTGATTATTCAGAATTAACAAAGATTTTTTTCCTTCTCTTCTTTTTTATGCAATTTCAAGTTCCGTAACTATCATTGAGTTTTCATACACTGAGTATTCATCAGCTAAGCAAATTCATCAACTCATTTTAGTTGTAGTTTGATGTAAATAAATGAAATATTAATCAATTCAAAGGACCTTTGGTAATGAAGATACAATAATGATTCTGAATGAGAAAAACAAACTGAGATTAAAGTTGTTGGATATTAACATTTTAAGAGTCTATTAATATCACCAGGGAGATGCTGGAAGAAGTAGATTCATATCATCTGATCATCAACAATGGAAGAATAATTTTAATAATTTAATCAAAAAGAATCAATTTATTCATCTTCATCATCATTCTTGAACAATTTATGAACAGAAATACTTTTTTTTTGTTCTATCATTAGAAGATAATTCATTGTAATGATGCTCAGTTCATTCATGCTTTAGATATCATGAAATTATAGCATGAAAAGTGTACAACATGTTAGTTTATTATATAACATGAATGTAATCTAATTCCAATTAAAATAATCATCTAAATTGAATAGTTGAGTTACTTTGGTTTCAGTTATAATATTTCATTTCCGTTTTCATCAAAAGCTCTGATAGACAGTTTCAAATTGATGATTCCAAGACCAACTGAATTAAATATACAAAATCGTACCTGAGACTGAATATTTCACAGGTACACTGTGTGTATGCTGTCAGTTGTATTAACCATGTGTCAACGTGAATAGTTTCAACTTGTTGATTCAAATGGAATATGAATAAGCTCATGAAAGGAAACGACATTTTCTGCCTTTTCTCATTAAGAACAACAAAGATCGTCTTGACATTTCATGATAGCTCATGGGTATTCGTTGAGATGAATTTAAGGTGAAACTTGTTTCTTTTCATTCCACACATCAAGTTACGAATTATTAATCATTCAATGGACTCTTTTTGTTTAGAGTAATTAAATTTCTGCTTTTACTCTTTAGCTGATTAAATAATAATCATTACTAAGATGATGGGTGATCGAAGTTGACATTTAATGTTGAGGATTAGGAGCAAAAAAGGTAAATCTTTGGAAAGTTTAATTGGGTTAACTTAATGGACCCAATTGAGATCATTAATTAAGAGTAAAAAGTTTGGAAAAGTTGAAAACTTTGAGAGACAAAAAATAGAACAGAAAAGATTTAAACTCCCCTGGAATCGTCAAGAATTATCGAGATAAATATTGATTCGAAATGGAAATGTATTAATACATTTTTCAAATTCTCTTAATTTATGCCAATGGATTCAACTTGATATGTTGAAACTTTATCCAGAATTTTGATGATCACATGAAGGGGAAGGTCAGATTGATGACATAAATTGTGGATGAGCAGGAGAGATAAATGAAGTTGTGAGTTTCTATAATTGAAAAAGTTTCAAAGGAGAAACATTTTGAGTTGAGCAGAAATTTAGTTGATTGTCATCATTGATTATCGTCAAATGAAAATATCAACAAAATTTTCTTCTCATTAATTAGTAAGATTTTATTTCGTCTGAATCTAATTTTCTACATTAAAATTGAAAGTTGATCATCATCATCATCATGGATTATCAATCAGATGACAAGTTACTCTTTACCTGAGTCTACAACATATATCACCAATATCATTGGAAATCCAAGTTTCATTGAACATCATTACACCAAATCAAAAAGTTCAATGTAAATTATATTTCAAAATTGTAATTCTGTACCTGAATTCATCTCTATTAGGATTCTGTTAACATACTCCCTGGTTATCAACCAACTCAGGGTAAGTATTCATTATTATCTTAAACCATTTTGTGAATCAACTCTTTTTGTTTCTTCAATGAACTTGATGAATTTTTATTTCACGTTTGTCAACATGTTACTTCAATGTTATTATATGATTTCTGTAGTTAAGAACTCTTATAACATGACCTTCTATTCTGATTGATTCCTATTGTTTGATTGACGAAAGCCCTTCATGGTTCTCATGAAGCAGAATATCATCTTTCGAGATAAAAAATGAAAGTGAAAAAAATCAATTTAAAGGGTATTAATTACTTGAGTTCTAAAACTAGAAAGTAATCAACCAGTTCCATTCGTTGAAACCAATTCTACTTCACTATTGTAACAAGATAATTCGATAAGCTATAGACATGATATATTGATTAGAATTGAAACTTGATAACAAAGTTAATCAATTACAAGACGAAAATAAAATTGAAAAGAAAACACGTGAACTTTTGTTAGCTTGGAAAAGTTCAAGTTCGATAAATTGATTAATTTCATTCGAGTCTTTTGTTTTCGTTTTCTTTGAAATCACTTGATATTTACGAATTTCATTTGTAAATCGTTTCACATTTTCTCATCTCTGATTTCAGATAATCTTCAATAGGTATTCTATTAAATTGGTTAATATTTAATTTGTTCAACTTGATCGTTTCCAGTTCCCAGACAAGGACAAGTTTCCCAATGGATTTACAGGTAAATCCATCGTTGATCTATCCAAAGATATTTGATAACAAGACAAGTGCGTTGAAAAGTGCCGACGTTCGTGAGGATAGTTTATTGGCTCGATTTGTCGATCAAAATGAAACAACTCGATTGATGTTGATTAATTACCTTTCATCGAACCAAAAATTGGACCCATTACTCGAGAAAACGTTAACCTTCATATGGATATTTTTCATCACCACAGGCCTCATTTCGAATTCAATATTAATCATTGTGATAATGTTTTCACGAAATTTACAGTCACCCAACACTTTACTTTTATGTAATCTATTCATTGCCGATGTAACTTACAGTCTATTGTCAATGCCCTTTACATTGGCCACCATATTGCACCGTTCGTGGCCCTTGGGGACAGTTTTGTGTAAAGCAGTTCCATTCATTCAGACCAATACCGCCTTCGTAACAGCAGGGACTGTCACCGCTATTGCGATCGACCGACAGTATCGAATAATGTGTAACTCTTATCGTGTCCATCGAATCAGCTTTTTCCACCCTTCATATGGACTTCGAATGTCAATATCGATTTGGTTATTTTCGATGGCACTTTCCTCACCTTTGCTCTATTTCCAACGACTTGAAACAGTTCTCCAGGTAGCTGATTTCTCTTTGGATATTTGCCATGAGATCTCATTCCATCCTAAACTCAGATTAATCTATCACTCTATTGTCTATGGATTTTTCATCTTTGTCCCAACACTGACTCTCGGTATTTCATATATTCGGATAAGATCATATCTTAATTATAATGGCATTGAAAAACGACGTCAGACTTATTTGTTATCAAGTTCAGGGATGAATGAGAATCAAGTTTCAATCCTAATACGTAAATTTGACTTTCTCCAGAAGGAGATTACATGTAATACCAAAGTCACCATAATACTTTTCATGGGAATTCTCATCTATGTTATCTCTTGGCTTCCCCTCTGTCTGTTCAACTTTTACATGGATTTTTTTCATTCCTCACTAACAGCGAGTGATATTACACTTCAAACGATAATATTTCATGTAATCGCCACCACTTCAGCCACAACAAATGCCTTCATCTATGGATATCTAAATACAAACATACAGAAAGAGTTGTCGAGGTGGTTTGATAAACTAATGGCTCGTAAGTGTTTCTACTGATCAACAATTACACTTAACTGATTATCTAAAGTAAATCTTTGAACAAAAGTCTTATTTAAGTTAATCACTTTCTGTTAAACAGCAAAATTACCACTTAATTAGTTTGATAATTGATTCATACTTATCGAACCAAATAATTAATTGTGATTAAGGATAACAATCATCATCATATGAGTTATTACACAACTTTAATTACATAAGCTGTTGCTTTCTGTTTATTTTTGTTCACCTTAATTGTTGGAAAAACATTGAAAGTTAATTACTTCTTAACCAATTCTTAATAAATTGTAAATCTAATAGATTAATTCTGCGGATTAAAAAATATTATTTTCTAATTATTATTTTCACTCAATAAATCAGAATAACAGAGAGAAAGATTTTAATCAACTCATTAAATTTTCATCATTAAGCTCATTTTTACACCATGATAATAATGAATTAATATAAAGTAACAATCAATCTTTCATCTAGTCATCAACAAATTGATTAAAATGGTGAAAATTTGATAAACAAAATTATCATGGAAACTCATTAATCTTGTCTGGTTTCAATCTGTTTAACATTGATTGAAATCAAATCTCACCAGAATTAAATTATTACAATATTGTAATTGAAATAATCATAATATTCATAATTCACTTTAGTACTGATTGAACTTTAATTCGTTAAAATTATCATGGAAAATGTTTAATTCATAGTGAATTGAGATCATAATAATACTTTGTTCATAAAGCTAGAATTCAATTTCACGACTATGGATTGAACATTTTAATAGTTCGAATGTGAATCGAATTACAGTAATGCCTTTCAAAATGACGCCCTCTCAAAATGACCCATCGTTATGGTAACATTAAATTTGGAAGATTTTTAAGTTTTAATTAGGATTAAATCTTATCAATTTGGTCTAAAAAAATGAAAATTAATAATTTCACTTCAAGTTCAGATTGTTACGAGGATTATAATTCATAATTATTTGTGTTTAGTATTTTTTTAATCTAAATAATTGATTAATTTCAACCCTTTCGAATGACCCGCTCTACAAATCGTTGTCAACATGATGGGTCATTTTGAAAGGTTTTACTGTACATTAAATATTTAGACTCAGGATTATTGAAAGAAGAGTTAGAAAACTTCGAGAACAATCATCAGCAATGGTTAATTCGATATAATAAACTACACGAGTCGTCACGAGGATTAATTTGTTTCGAAATCGTAATTCATATGGCTCAGAAATTTCTAAAATGAAACTTAAAACCGAATTCGGAAATCGAAAGTACTTCGGTAGACTAAACTGGATTAATTCAGGATTAGAATTAATTTTCAAATGATTTATTTCTGATAAAATAATAGATTTGGTATTAATATTAATTGAAGGTTTGAACCAATTCAGGGATTTTCTCAGGTCTTACAATTACCTAAAGATTCGTATGGGATTACCCGTGACCTTTACCACTTACATTTCCAATTATATATTTAATAACGAAAAGATTAAAATCTAACTCAATTCAATAAATCACAATATTGAACTATTCAGAATTAGAAACAAGAATAAAGGTGATTGCAGAGGTTCGAACCTTTACCTTTAGGAAAACAGATACTAATTCAATTCAAACCAAACACAGTGAGAACTATTCAGAATTAGAATCAAATGTGATTACAGATACTAGCTCAATTCAACACAAACACAGTGAGAACTATTCAGAGATAGAATCAAGATTGAGGTGATTTCAGAGATACTAACCTCAGGAGAAACAGATACTAATTCAATTCAACACAAATACAGTGAGAACTATTCAGAATTAGAATCAAGACAATGGGAGAAGGTGAGTTCAGAGGTTTGAACCTTTTACCATTAAATTAAGCACAGAATTCAATTCAACACAAACACAGTGAGAACTATTCAGAATTAGCACTTATTAAAAGAGATTAGCTTCGAAGCTTCAACAGTACTAGGTGAAGAATAATAGAAACAAAATGTATTTTATTGTAACACTTGACTATTAAGACTTAACACTTTCAAAATTAATGTTGGCTTTTTATAGCAACTTAAGAGGAAAAGGAAACAACTAAAGAATTTAGTTGATATGGAAAAAGCTAAATTGTTAGTCCAACAATTAAACATAATTAATTCTTTTGGGAATAAACAGAAATTTCGAAATTTATAAAAAAAAATAGAAAAATGGAGGAAAAGAAAAGAAAATGAGGGAAAGCAACATTTCTAGGGAAGGTTAACTAATTGCAATCCTTTGGGTTTTAAATGAGAAATTTCTAGAAAATAAAGAAAATTGTTAATCATCTTTTGATGATAAATGAAATTAAATGACTCAATTGTTAAGAGAGTCAACAATTAACCCTTCACATCCCCCGGTTTATGACTAAGACACTCTCCTGACAATTGTTCATTTTCAATTTCATTGGAATCAGGGCTTTCCTCGGGATTTGCTTCTTGTAAATTCGGATTATCTTTATCCTCAGATTCAGTTTCCCATGAAACTTTCTTTATCTTTAGTCGAGGGCTTAGATTAATATCAGAATTGGTTCTAAGTAAAGCGGGAAGATAACTTAGAACAGGTCGATTTTTATCCCAATTGTCTTTTTCATCTCGGCGGAAAATTGAGGATGATCTCCTTATATCTTTTCTTTATCTTTCTCTTCCTTGAGATCTTCATATCGTTGTTGGAATAAAGCTTTGAGTAATTCTTGATCAGGATAAACACAATTATCATCATTGAATGTTGGTGTTGATCTTACTCTCGGATTTAATTTCCATTCTTCAGGCCATTGCATTCGTTTCTGTTTGATTTCGTAATCAATGAAATACAAGAGGGCAGAGGTAATTGAATTTCCACAGGTAATTTCAGCATTTTGATTGTGAATTCCACCAAGAGCTTCAGCTTCATGTTCGATTTGATGATTTTGTAGAAGATATAATCGCATTGCTGTAATGGCTTCGACCACAGGTGAATGAGGTTCGGAGGTAATTGTGTATCCAGTAAACCACAAGAAGGCGATTACATGTAAGCTCATGGCTGAATGATAGTAAGGTGAGAAGAATTGATTGACTTCTCGACACTTAGGAAGTAAAAGTTTAATTTCGTAATCAGTAAAACCAATATTATTGAATTGATTAATGAGTCCAGAACCAACGATTCTTGAAGCACATGAAAGAAAGGTTATTATTTGATCACGAACAATGCGAAGATTTCGAGCATTTTTAAGATGAAATTTTCTGAGTCCATGGAACTTTGAATCCATACAATGACATTCAGCATATTTAACGAAAGTTTCATAAATTACTTTCATGTTTCCATCGATAATTGTAATCCAACATGGACGGGGTTTTTCTTTACCATTTTCCCATATTCGTAAACAAACAGAATTGATACAAAAAATGGTTGATTTATTTTCAATACCTTCAGAGGTTAATTGAATTGCTTCTAACTGTTCATTAGCTAGAGTGGGAAGAATAGCTTTAGGGCGACTTGACCAGGCTTCAGCTAATTGAGCTCGTCGACTTTCACGTCGTTCATTTGATTTTTCATTAGATGATAACTTGGGAGTCAAGTAAAATCTTTCCTTGTTAATTGATGAGGGAAATTGTTTTAAAAATTCCAAGGCTTTTTCAGATTGTTCTGAGTCCAATAGATCGAATGGATTAATTCGGGTAAACGGTGTTTCAGGATCTTCGATATTTGTTGAATATAAGACCATTGATGATGTTGATGAGGCAATTGATTCATTATCATCATCACCATAACAATTGACTTTAAATCTTTGCCAATTTACCGATGATTGTAACAGGTAATAGGGAATCTTATTCATTTTTGAATAAGGCCAATTACAGGCAGAGGGTTCAGGTTTAGCTGAGACGGATGGAAAACCAATTTTTCTCACCCATTCTTCACCTTCACTAAGAGGAATAGTTGGATCTTTTAATTGGGCTTTATTATTCCACCAATTAAGTGACAAATTAGTTTGAGCTCGTAATGCAGTAGAAGTTAGACTTGAGTCACCTTGAGCTTCTTTTAAAATATAAGCACAAACTTTCGCTTTTTCTTGCCAATTTACACGATGAGGTTTATCCATTTCTTTTACCTTTAAATGTTGAGGCAAGAGATTAGCCAATTTTCGAGGTTTTTCAACCAATTCTTGTTTAACTGGACCAGAGACAAAATTTAAAGTTAAATCTTTATCAAAGAAATAATCAACAGGTCCACGGCGACAGGTTTTAATGTGATAGGAATAAACATGATTTGCCAACGAGATTTTACACCAATCATGAATACATAAGAATTTGGCTTCATTGTAAAAAGAAATGATTGATTGTTTTTCTACTTGAGTAGCTTGTCGATAGATTTGTTGAGTTGAACTTTTTACCAAACAGTTTTCATCAATACAAAGAAATTCATTTGAATTCTTTGTTGGTTCCAAATTCGATTGAGTGATGAGATCTCGTAACCATTTGACACAAGGTGAACAATAGATTTTCTTACAATCTGAACAATTCAAGGGAACGATTGAAATTTGTTCACAAAAAGCACAAATAATTTGATTAATAATTGAAGTTAATTCTGAATGAATAACTTTTGCTCTTGATAAACCTTTAGGTAAATTTTCAAAATTGATAATTTTTATATCTTCAATAAGATTAAACTTGACCTTTTCTTTAATGAATTCGGTGTACCAATCTTTTTGTTCCGTATAAAGAGACAAGTCTCGGTCTAGATTTTGTTGAGCTGCATGGAAACTTTCAGGTTCTTGGTAGTCAGCGAATTTGAATTCACTTTTTATATTTGGGAACAGTTTTTGTTTCACATAGAGTCGAGATGGTGGAGGATAAGGAGTATCATCGACCAAATTTTTGGGTATTTTTCTAATTGAGTCAGCAGTTGAAACTGGTAGTGGGTCTTTTAGCTTTAAACGGGAATACATAACACTAAAATCTTCACTTTCAGGGGCATCTCGAGATGGAAATTCCCAACCAGAATCATCAGAATTTTCACCATCATTTAATTGATTGTTCTCAACGAGATTTTCATCATTCACTTGAATGGAATCAGTTGAAGATTTGATTGATTCAACATCAGAATCACAATTGATTGAAGGTGTTGGGCTTTTAGAAGCCATTGATGAGTCACAAGTTATTACTTTAACACTTTTAAACAATTGATTGTTAATTAGAAGATTTGATTTGATTTCACTTTGAAAGATTTAACAAAATAAATTTGATTCGAATCAACAATTAGTCTTAAATAGTAAATTAATTGGTTAATTAATTTGATCAACACAATTAACTCGT